GAATTTTTAAGTACATGGATGAAGCCATTAGTCTCCAAGTTGGAAATTCACTTCGGATAATGGGCCTCGATTTTCCAAAAATGACAACAAATTTTATTCCGAACATCCCTCCAAAATAAGGTGTTCATATTTAGTCTTTCCTTAAGGACGAAGAAAGCCTCTGTATTTGAGATGTCCTCACAGCTAATCATCAAATTGGTTAAACTAGTTAAGTTGCTTTTAGCAACTCTTCCACTACTTACCTTATATTGTAAAGGCATTGCATAGGGGCTGCTCCTAGCATGGATGAGATAAAAATGGTGAGGAATTACATCTTTAACAAGTCTAACTTCTGATTTTCCCTGGGAAAATTGTTATACCACTTCTTCGCCTATCCAGTTAAGGTTTGGTGGAAAGTTCTACGTTTCAATGTTGTGGAAGCCCCTCTTAGGCCTAACTATGTTTTATAAGTGTTGATATAGTTTTTTATTCTGAACATCCCTCCAGAATAAAGTGTTTATATTTATTTAGTCTTTCCTTAAGGATGAAGAGAGCCTATGTATTTCAGATGTCCTCACAGCTAATCATCTAGTTGGTTGGACTAGTTAAGTTACTTTTAGTAACTCCTTTACAGCTTGCTTATATTGTAGAGGCATTGCACGGGGGCTACTCCTAGCATCGAGTGAGGAATTACATCTTTAACAAGTCCAACTTCTGATTTTCCTGGGTGGAAATTGTTATACCACTTCTTCGCCCATCCAGTTAAAGTTAGGTGGAAAGTTCTACGTTTCAATGCTGTGGAAGCCCCTCTTAGGCCGAACTACGTCTTATAAGTGTTGAGATGGTCTTCAGGATCACCTCTACCTTGACGCTTTTTCTCTCCCACCTATTTCTAAGAGGAGCATTATTATGAAGCCTATTTTTTTAGCACTTCTTTTCCCAGCGTGTCAAAGATGTTGGCAAACTTGGAACGTTTGCCCTCCCACTCGTAGACAGGAGGAAAGACACGTTCTTCTTCATTGAACGGGTCTACGTCGAAAGAACCCATGTTTGACTCTATTAACCTTCTACTTCCACGTCTCTTTCAATGGGGCAAACATTTCTTTCCATTATGAGGTTTTAAGGACAATTAGTTCACACTTTTTCTTCATGTCTCTATCAGTTTTTCCATTGACCTTGATGATCGGGTTAGAAGAATCCAGGGTAAGGCATGTTTGAAATGCGTGCCTGCTTGTACCTGCATATCGTGAAAGAATTGTTGCATACAGGTATTCTATTATGTTATTTTTGTCATGTTGACTGCTATATGAACCATCTTTTGGTGAGACAAGCAGCGACTCTTTCACCTCTCTGGTTACGTGGCCAAAGGTTTTGGTAATCTCTCTTGTTGTTCTTTGCAAATTAAGTTCACGTTCTTCATTTTCACTCATTTTTTAGATCAAAATATCTATTTTCTTCAAAAGATCTCCCTTTCTTCAAAATCACAAACACTGAAAGATTCATTGCTTTCATTTTTCAAGGCCATGGACCCAATTTGAAGATCTTGGGCTATTTCCTTCAAAGCTTCTACTTGTTATTTTCAAGTATAATACTTTCTTCTAAAGGGAAGTATATGGGATTTTTGGTAGGCTTTTGCTTATGGGCTACGATCATGGTTAAAGTTTTGTTTCCCACAGATGACGCCAACATATTATGGGCCATAGATCATCTCCAGCACGATTGCCACATATTTCTTCATGTACTTCTCACAACATATAGTGTGTTTCTTTCTCATCTAGCACCTTAGCTTGGGGCCGTATATTTTTTTTTGTAGAGGACCCCATGCACAAGAGTATATCAGGGTTGCTCTAATCCTATATTTTTCAGCATTTTCTAGATTTGGTGATATTTTTCCACCATTAAATAGATGATTACGTCCATCTAGGTTAGTCTAGGTCTACTACCATGGCCATAGTTCCATTATTTTTTACAGCTTGTTTTCTCCTTCTTAGTGGAATGTAGATCTTCTATGCATTCGTTGGTTGTGAGTCTAACTAGTGCATATGTGTGATCATTCTACGGTCTAGGAATTTTCTTTACTTTGACAACCTCAAAGTTATTAAGCTCCCTTCAAACAACTTGAGGAGAAGATGTTTTTCCGTCCACTTTGGTTTTAAATGACTTATTGATGTGATTAACAACGGGTCGAGAGTTATTGTAAACAATTAATTTTGTTATCTTCATTTTTCTAGCTCTCGTTAGTCGGCTATTAAGGCCCTGTATTCAGTCATGCTATTCATGCACATGACTGAGCTTCAGTAGGTAGACATATAGTTCACAAGGGATACTTTGTCGAGCTTAATTGGGGTCCAAGTCTAACTTAGCTAAAAAATCAGCTAAGGCATGACCCTTCATATCAGTATATGACTTATAGGAAATATCGAATTGTTCCAGTTCTATTATCCATTTTACCATCCATCTTGAGATGTCTGGCTTCTGTAAGACTATCTTAATGGATAGTTGGTCAAGATCTCAATAGGATGCTCCAGGAAGTTTCGCAATTTTTAGATGAACATGACTACGGCAGATGCCATTTGTCCATAGAAGAGTATCGTAGTTCAGGCTCATGAAGGGTTTAACTGACATAATACATGGGTAATTGCATTACATTCTTCCCTTTTTTGTATATGAAACTTGTGGCGTGCTTAGAGACAACCAATTTACAAAGAAAGAGTTTGTTCGACCATTTGTTTAGATAGCAACTGAGGGTGAGCTAGCTATTCCTTGAGACCCTTGAAGGTTTGTTGGCATCCATTTAAATTTCTTTCTACTTGAAGTACGTCGAAGAAATATTTGTAGGAATTAGTACTTTTCAGATAAAGTTACTTAGCACGACTATTCATCATGTAAGGCTCCACATTTCATTAGGTCAGGTCGAGCATTCATTTCTATGATAGCCTAGATTTTTCTCGGGATTAGCTTCAACCCCTAGTGGTTGACCATGTAACCTAAGAACTCATCGAAATCGACTTCGAATGCGTACTTAAACATGTTGTCTTCATTTTGTATTTCTACAGTGTTACAAACATCTCTAACAAGTGATGGACATGATCTACCGTATTAGTGATTTTAACCAACATCTCATCGACTTAACTTCCATTGCTTTTTTCAATTTGATGGACTAATATCGTGTTTACCAATCATGAATATGTCGTTTTGAAATTTTTCCAGTCGAAGGGCATCAAGTTGGAGTAGTACAGTCTTCTTTAGGTGATAAATAAAGTGCACTCCACACCGAGCCCAAACATTGGGATTTGATTATAGCTGAAATATGCATCCCCGAAGCTCAGAAGCTTGTGTCAAGCTATGGCATCTACTATTTGGTCTATTTGTGGGAGTGAAAAGCTATCTTCAAGGCAAGCCTTGTTGGGGTTATTGAAGTCTACACAGATCCTCCAATCTCCATTACACCTTTTCACAAAGATCGAGTTCACGATCCATTTTGGGTAAATGCTTTCTTGATGAATGCATTTCTGATGAGTTTCTCCACCTCTTTTCATAGGGCTTCGTATATTTCTTTACCGAAGGGATGTCTCTTTTATATTATTAAAGTTGACAATAAGTCAAGCTTGTGGCACACAATTTTAGATCTATACCTTCTATGTCATGATTACTTCAAGTGAAAATGTATAAGTTTTAATTTTTGAAAAATTCTCAAGTCTATAGTAGAGTGATAGTCGAAGCTCGTGCCATATGTGGAGCTTCCTCTATTGATGACCCAAACCGACTTGAATTTTATCCAATTCTTCTACAAACTTAGCCCCTTTTCGTAGAAACTTATCCAGTGTGTTTTGGTCTGGGTTTTCTATTTGCATCACGTGTATACCAGGATAGAAAGGTACAACTCTGACGTTCAAATCAAATGGACAGTGCAGGATTCAACATCCCTCTCTGATTTTCATTTCTTTTTATTTCTCCCATCCCATATGAAGTTGAAAACTTTAATGAGTCATTTATCTAGTGATAGTTGACCTTAAGTTATAAAACAATGGTTACTCCATAATGGCGTCATGGGGTGAGTAAGAATCTATCACTATAAACACTGCGATCGTGCTAACCTCTTTTGGGGAATTCTTCTACTTCGAGAACTAGAGTGATCTTTCCTTTAGGTGTGATCAACACGCTATTTAGTCCAAGGAGTGCACTTGGATACGACTATAAGAAGCTGAGGGGAATTCCATCCAAATGAGCGTGTTAACGTACAATATACTTTGAACACTTCATATATCCACCAATGTTTTGCAGTTATTGAACTTGGTGATGGTAGGGCGACCACCAGGATGCTTGGGTGTGGTGAGGGTCAGGTTCAGCCTCGTCGAAGGAGAGGTAATCATCATTCGATGACTTTCAGTGTTTAGCATTGATTTCTATTTTTGATAGGCTGGCAATGCCAGCTTCTTCGACTTGGTCTCTTTGATTTGATCTCTACCTTTTCATTGGAGCATGCTGACCTGTCTTCTTTGTAGGTCGACGTTGTAGGACCTTGCCAAGGCTTGGTTCCCTTGAACCACTCCCGCTCCTCCTATTGTGAGGAGTTTCATGCAGTAATGATAAGTCACTGTTGTAGACTTGAGGTCATAATATTGGTCACCCTAGGATTGCATTGTAATCTTCATTTTGTATTTCTACAGTATTACAAACATCGTATGAGCATTTTTCCATCTGTATAGCACCTCGCATTTTCAACTTTAAAAATCTAAATTCATTTCGAACTCAAACTTGCATTCAAAAGTTTGAATGACAGTGATTCCATAAGATCACACAATAATTTAACCGAAATTCTTAACCGTTCCCACAACTATAATAAAATGTTACGATCAAGTTGCTTACTTTCTAATAATAAGTACTAACTTACTACTGAAAAATAGCCTGGGGACCAAAAGTTAAAATTTTCCTTATCCAGATAAATTCCAGAAAAAATCACAATTCTCCATCTATTCCAAGCTCTCTTTTATGTGCTCTCACTTCACTTGAAAAAGAAAATGAAATCTTCTTCCTCCTCCTCCTCCAAGCACCCAACAGATGAGGACCATAAACGCACCGCCAAAAATTCACCTTCATATTTTCTGATACTGCCTCTTTCTTCCCCTTTCAGTTTCATCCACAGCGCCCCATTTCTCAGACATCAAACAATTTCAAAACCCAACTTCCAGTCACTCGCAGCAGCAACTTCAAATGTTATTCGTGAAGTTCAAAGCTCCATCGATAAATTTTTTAAATTGCTAAATGTTTTCGCGTCCCAGAATGCTTTTGTTGATAAATTTCTTTCATTTTCTTATCGTCTTCCAAGTTGCTACCAGGTAATTTTATCTCTTTCTGAATATGTAAATGGGTATGCTTTTTATTCACATTTAGTCCGCCGCGCCAATGGCGTTGAAATTAGGGTTCTTCAAGTTAATGTAATCGAATATTAATTTTACTAATTAAGTTTGCTACCTAGAACATCGATGCAAAACTATGTTTATAATTTGGAAAAATTCATAGATTATAGATCTAAATTAAGAGTAAAGCACATTTGGAATCTAACATTTTCTTGCGTGTAGCTTCATTTTGTATTAGTTATTCCTGCAAATGCAATCTACTCAAATTGTCATAGGTGAAGGAAAATGTTACTTTCGGTACGAAGATATTAGATGTAGTTCTGGATAGTTAGTTGATAGATATCTGTCCCAGATGTGTATCGAATTCCAAATATATTTTTAGGAAATCCTAGGTTACCATATTATTATTATTCTAATTCTGAGGATTCAAGTGATTGTTGTTGATAACTTCCATATTTATGGTTGGAGTGACTAACTCGGCCTAACCTGGTCAATAGATAATAGCCTATGCCCAAATGACTTGAGTCGAAACAAAATAACCAAGTTATCATTGATTTCTATTTTTGATAGGTCGGCGATGCTGGCTTCTTCGACTTGGTCTCTCTAATTTCATCTCTACCTCCTCCTTGGAGCATGCTGACCCATCCCCTTGAACCACTCCTACTCCCCTAGGCTGAGCAGACGATGATTTGCCCCCTCTTAGCTCAACCAAGTTGAATCTTGAAGGTTTGACACCTTCCTCTAGATCCAGAGACCGAGCCTTAGGGTCGACCCTCAGGTCCCTCACTTGGGTTGGTTGAGTTAGCTCGACCATAACCTAGCATAGAGGGTGTGGCCTCCCCTTGTCGGACTTTTCCTGACCAAGACAAACCCTTGAGGACTTCACCATCCTTGGTTCAACAAATCTTGACCAAGGCCAAACCCCTTCAACCTGACCACCTAGCACTTACCAAGAGAGGGGGTCATGTTGATTCTGTTGGGCTCTCTGTGCCAAATTGGGGATATGATCACCGCACGATGCTATGAGCACCACATTCCCCCCGTCCACCGTCTGAATATGTCTATAAATAGGAGGGCGCGTAAGACATAAGGCAGGTTCTAGAACATTCCCACATTCACCACACATGTATCCAGTATACACAGTGCACGGACATTGTTACTCGTGCGAATTGTGCTGTGATCTATACCGTGATTAGCAGCAGTTGTTAACATATTTAAGATATCAATCATCAGTGCCATTATTAATTTGATCTGAGGGACACATATTTTTGTTATTTCCATGTAGATAATATCCGTTGCCCACCTTGAAAACTCAGAACCTAGTTCTATCTTTAACATGATGCAACGCTGTTCCACCTATTATTTGAAGTTCTCTATTGTATCCTGGCCCAAATAGCGATCCACCCCATTTATATTTTTATGATTTCTTAATAAAAAAAAGTATCTGTTAGCGAAGCAAAGGACAAGTACACTGCAAACATGCATATTTTAAGCTGTTTGGTCTATCCTTGAATCTATTAGAAAGGAATCAGTTCACAAGAGAACAAAAGTATTTTAAATTGTAAACTGGCACATTTCTCTATCACTCCTGTGGCTTGAGTCTGGTGGTTGATTTTTTTGAGTTGTAATAACTCGAAGCTGACACTTGTTTTAGATTCCACGAAGAAACTACCAGAATTTGGACGTTTTGTCCCATCATAATTTTGCTGCCATTTTGCCGGGTGATTCAGTGGCGGGAATAGTGGTTACTAATGGAATTTTGAATTTCTTAAACATTTACAACACATTGTTGGTTGTGAGGCTTGTTTTAACTTGGTTTCCAAATGCTCCTCCAGCAGTTGTCAGCCCCCTCATGTATAATACGAGATAACCTCTAATCTATTGTCAATATCTGAAGATAAGAATGCGAGTAACATGGCTTCTGGTACTTGTTTCAGCACTTTATGTGATCCATACTTGAACATATTCCGAGGCATCATTCCACCACTGGGAGGGACGCTTGACCTTTCTCCTATATTGGCATTTCTTGTTTTAAATGTCTTTACCAGTACAGCATCTGCGCTGCCAGCTGAACTTCCATCTTCAGGGCTTCATCAGGACCTTTCATCTCGTGCAACAGCATCTGAGCGTACGACGTCACAGGAGAAATGGATGAGAAGGCTTGACCAGAACAGTTCAAAAAGATCTGCTGCTGATAATTAAATTGTTTTTCTCGCATAGCTTCTCTGATACTTGACACAAAGTACATGTATTCTCAGAATCCAGTGGTAGGAGGAATTTCCATGATGGAGATTCATTTGGCTAGCTGTATGATTTATTGATACGTCTATGTCCGAGTAACAAGAAAGCTACATTTATATATCATAATATATAGAACATGAACAATTGACAAATAAGAAGCTAGAAAAATACACACACGTGCATCTATCTAAGATCTTGTACTCCGGGGAAAGTGGCGGAGGTGGAAAACTTGCTTAGGTTCATTCACGCTTAAAGATTGAATCAAATAGGAATAGCGGAGTAAGTGGATTGGGATGTCCATCCATTCGGAAATTCATCTGATATCTGCACAACTAGAAATCAACCTTGATGCCGTGCCTGCAGCGTAGGATTCAGCATATTACCTACTATCAAATAAAAATCTTTTATTTACGATTCTCTTCTGGCTGCCGAAGATTTTGACCAGCTTCAGTGAAGAGCAACTACCAACCCAGTGCCGACACAATGATATATCCAAACTTTCTTCAATATTCGGCCAGTGAAAATCGAGCCAAACTGTTAAAAAGTAGGAAAATAAAGTATGTAGAGGCAGCAATTAATATACGACTCAAGTTATCTATCTAAATCGAAACAGAAATACCCGTGGGAAAATACGGGTCGTATGTCGCCTATGTAGAATGATCCGACTCACAACATATTAAAGTTGATCGAACATATTAAAGTTGATTGAGGGAATGATTTGAGTAGAATTCAAGCCCGTAACTTTTCTCAACCCCCATCAATTTCCATAACCTTCTACAACTTCCTTTACTTCTGCCTTGACAATTGAGGAAATAAAATATGGTAAAATTCTTATGAAAAGTACCAAAAAATTGAAAAGTGCTTAGAACCACAATTTTGACATGAAAACTCATAAAATTAAGCACTTAGATTGTGGATAATGATCACATTCCATTATGATTGAGATTTGGACTATTGGAGTACGAGTAAATGTATATTTTGGAGTTTGGAAAGCTAGGTGATTCAACCACAACGATCTTGAGAATTTTCATCATTTCCAAGTAAGAATTCTTGAACAAATTTAAGTTAAGCAGTTAAGCATGCTGTGAATTCTTTCATTGGTATCAGAGCCTCAAAGGTTGAATTTATTGTAGTATTTCATGTTTAAATATGCAATTATACCATTTCATTGAGTTACGGATCATGTATGTTAAATTTTGAAACCAGTTAAAAATACCAGCTGCCAAGAAACAGAATTATGCTGGCACACGTCCTGAATTTTAGGAAAGGAATCACTTTCAATTCGCCAGCTAGGACATGTTGTTAGTCTTGCTGGTAGCTTAATTCTAGAATCTTCCTTGAGGCTTAACACTTGTATAAAACCGTGTGTTCATCAGTAGATTAAATCATCGAAATAAAGTATCATTTTCAGCTAATATTTCTACTTGGTATCAGAGCCTATAATGGCTAACACCAGATCCGGCAATAATTTTGAGTTTAACACAGCCCCAGCAATTACTCAAGCAGCTATTGGCCAGCATTCATCCTTTGGAATGACTATTACTCAGACGCTTGAGTCAAACTCGACAGAAACAATTTCCTATTGTGGAAACACATGATAATGCCAATAATCAAAGGGCATAACCTTGAAGGATTCTTACTGGGGACAAAGGAGTGTCCACCAGAGTTCTTGGCTACTCAAACAGCTGTTGGACAAGGAGAAACAGTTGAAATGACTCAGAATCCTGAGTTTGTGAAGTGGAATTCAGTTGATCAACTCCTCATGGGTTGGTTATATTCATCCATGACCCTTGAAATAGCCATGAAGGTTATGGGTTGCACGAGTCCGAGCAAGCTCTGGGTAGCAGTAGAGGAGCGTTTTGGAATATTAAACAAATCACGAGTTATGTTTCTTACAGGCGAATTGCAAAGAACCAGGAAAGAGTCTATGACAATTGGATCAATACTTGACTACCATTAAACAATTGGCTGATAACTTGAAGATAGCGGGAGGATCATTGATCAAGGTGATCCGATTACTCAAGTTTTATCAGGTTTGGATGAGGAATACACATCCATTGTGGTCCAGATTAACGGCAAAGAAAATATGTCCTGGCATGAGTTATCTTCAGTTCTTATGACTTTTGAGAGTCGGCTTGATCATATAAATCAGGTCAGGAACAGCTTCACATCACTCAATGTTAGCCAATCAAGTGTTCAGTTGGCACATAAAGCTGGTCCAGGATTTGACAGAGGTTACAGAAGTACTGGCAGTGGGAGATCTCCGAACTTTAAGGGCAGAATAAGAGGTAGAGGTAGAATTGTGACTAGCAGACAAAATGAAACTAGTGATCCATGTCAGATCTGCGGATTGAGCAACCATTCTGCAAGTTGGTGTTATAACAGGTATGATTAAAGAAATATGGAGAGCAAACCATCAATTGGACAACATAACTTGAACTCAGCACCATTAGCCCATGTTGCCTCTCCTGGAGTGCTTGAGGATCCAGCGTGGTTTGTGGATTCTGGGGCTAGCAATCATGTGACAGCAAACAAAGGTAATTTGAAAACCTTGAAAAAATATGAGGGAAAGGAAAAATTGTTTGTTGGTAATGGAGATATGTTACACATTGCACATATTGGAAAGGGAAAAACCTGTGCACTAACAGATAAATCACTTGACTTAAACATATTATTACATGTTTCCTCAATCAAAATAAATTTAATTAGTGTCTCACAACTCACAGCTGATAGCAATGTTTTTATGGAGTTCTACTCTAACTATTGTGTTGTTAAGGATCACCAAACGAAGAAGACTCCGCTGCAAAGAGTACTTAAGGATGGGTTGTACCAATTGTAATTGCCTGACCCCAAATCAGAAAACATCTTTATCGAGTCCAACCTCCAAAATAACTACTACTGCTTCACAGCTGAACCTGGAGATAGTCTGTTATCCTCAGTTAAACAAGCCTCAGTGTCTGAACTTGATCTCTAGCATAGATAGGACACCCCTCCAACTATGTTATGAGTCAGGTCCTAAAGTACTGTAATAAAGATATTAAGTCTAATGAAATTCCTATCTTTTGTGATTCTTGCAAAATTGGTAAATCCCATGCTCTTCCCTTTCGCACTTCAATATCACATGCCTTGAATCCCTTGGATCTTATCCATACTAATGTTTGGGGACCAGCCCCACTAAATTCCACCAATGGATATAGATACTACATAATTTTTGTGGATGATCATAGCAGGTATACATGGATTTACCCAATGAAACACAGATCTGAAGCTTTAACCATCTTTACTCAATTCAAGAAACTTGTGGAAAATAAACTGGACAGAAAAATTAAAACACTCCAATCTGACTGGGGTGGTGAATTTAGAAATTTCAGAAAAATAGCAATAGAATCAGGTATCGAACTCAGGCACTCCTGCCTTTACACCCTGCTCAGAATGATAGAGATGAACGCAAGCACAGGCACATCATTGAAACTGGCCTCACTCTCTTAGCTCAAGCTCAAATGCCTCTCTACTATTGGTGGGAGTCATTTAAGGCTGCTACCTTCCTGATTAAAAGGTTGCCTACCCCTGTTCTACATCAAAAATTACCTTTCCAATCTCTATTTAACACAACTTAGAACATTTGGCTGTGCTTGTTTCCCATATCTTAGGCCCTACCAGAAACATTAATTCAGCATCCACTCTCAAAGATGTGTCTATGGTGATTCCCACAAAGGTTATAAGTGTCTAAGTCAAAATGGTAGGATCTACATTTCCAGACATGTTACCTTTAATGAGCAAGATTTTCCTTTTAAAACAGGTTTTCTAAATAAACGTGCTCAATCCCAAACCTGTGATACTACTATAAGGTATCTTCCTTTCATTGACCTCATCCTTAACTATACACCTCATAATCCAATTGCTGGCTCTACAATATAGCCTGAACTCCTGCAGCAAGCTTCACTGATGAAGAAATTAGAACTCAAGTGAGAGGGGGTGAGATGCTGGAATTAAATCAGGAAGTGTTAGCAGGAAATGGAACTTCAGAAATTCAACCAACTGAGATTAACACTCAGATTACCACAGGAGAAACAGACTTACAAGAACCTATCATAGTTCAAAATCCTGGAAATCAAATGCTTACCAGAAGTAAGGCTGGCATCTTCAAACCGAAGATCTATACTAGCCAAGCAATTGATGAAATGTCAGTAACTGAGCCTGCAACTGTTGAAGAAGCACTGACAAGCAGCCACTGGAAAGATGCAATGCAAGAAGAATACAATGCACTTATGAAAAATGAGACTTGGACGTTGGTCCCACCAGAAGCTGGAGTGAAAGTTATTGGCAATAAGTGGGTTTTCAAACTGAAGTTTGACTCAAATGGGAAAGTGGCAAGGCACAAAGCCAAGCTTGTTGCCAAGGGCTTCTTGCAAACTCCTGGAATTGACTTCAGTGAGACCTTCAGCCCGGTTATTAAAGCTTCAACCTTGAAAATTGTTCTAACACTTGCTTTATCGAGAGACTGGGAAATCAGACAAGTAGACATAAACAATGCGTTTCTGAATGGCAACTTGAATGAGGTAGTCTTTATGGATCAGCCACAGAGTTTCATTGATGAGAAGCACCCTAGCTATATCTGTAAACTGAAGAAAGCTTTATATGGTTTAAGGCAAGCCCCAAGAGCTTAGAATGATGAATTAAAGCACACCCTGTTGGATTGGAACTTCAAGTAGTGCAAGGCAGATAATTCCTTATTCTTCCTAGATAAAGGAACTTGTTAGAATATGCCCACAGCCACAGCAAATCACAGGATCAGATCAGCATCAGCACATTCCACCTCCACATATCAATTATTAGTTCACGTGCTTTTCCAGCTCACGTTTAGCTAACCAGCACATGCAACCTGCTTCCAGATTCTTTTTATTTTGTTAGATTGTTAAAATTTTCTCTATAAATAGAGCTCTTATATGCATTGTAATCCT